GAAACATTGGAAGAGGCTGCCCAGGGAAGTGGTTGAGTCACCATCCCTGGAGGTATTTAAAAGACAAGTAGATGTGGCGCTTAGGGACATGGTTTAGTGGGCATGGTGGTGTTGGGTTGATGGTTGGACTCAATGATGTTAGAGGTCTTTTCCAACCTTAACAATTCTATGATTCTATGATTCTTTGTGCCTGTAGGTACCAAGTCCTCATCTTAGTCCTGTAAACCACGTGGAACAATAAAAAAATTGTTCTTTAGACTCTGATGTGCCAAATACTAGCTTTAAAACTAATTCAGTCCGTTTCTTCTCCAGGTTCTGCCTTAATCCATTTTGTGCCTGTCAATACTGGGTGTTAGATTCATGTTAAAGGTGACAAAAAGTGACAAGCTTGACTTCCTGCTCTTTCCTCAAAAAAACTAGTTCAGATTAGGCTTAGCATTGAGAGATCAAACAAGAAAGGCTGAAAAACTGGATTTATTGCTGGATCCTGCAAGACTGGGATAAAAACTAGAACTGGAGATTGGCTTGGGACTGTGAATCATAGAATCATAGAATCATTGAGGTTGGAAAAGACCTCTAAGATCATCGAGTCCAACCGTCGACCCAACACCACCATGCCCACTAAACCATGTCCCTAAGCGCCACATCTACTTGTCTTTTAAATACCTCCAGGGATGGGGACTCAACCACTTCTCTGGGCAGCCTCTTCCAATGTTTAACCACTCTTTCAGTAAAGAAATTTTTCCTCCCATCCAATCTAAACCTCCCCTGGCACAACTTGAGGCCATTTCCTCTCGTCCTATCCCATGAAGTCCCATGGGTTGGGGATAGTGGGACTAGAGCAATTTTTTATTGATGAATACTACCAAGTTGTAGACTGAGTGATGGCTGTATGCAGGATAAAATGGATTCTTGTAGATCTGAGACTGGTGAACTATACATACCGTAAGGTTTGGGTTTAAGCTCAGAAGCAAAGGCAAATGTGTGTTTTTTCCGTTGCTAGATTTGCATGGTCTATGGATTTGTCATCTCTAAACTGGAATTTTAGCTAGAGTAAAGGCGGGGTGGGGGGATGTTACGTTTACTGTTACTGTTTGGGATTGCAGGAGTTGAAGAAGTACTTCCACTGTTGGGCCATTGCCATAACCCTAAATTTAGTTTTAAGTGTCACCCTAAGCCTCCTAAGGAATTAACAATAAACTACTTTCCTTTGCCAAAATGACCCCTTATCCTAGTATTGCCTGACCAGTGCTCTTCCCCTGCAGTCCTCGACACTATTCTCAAACCTAAAAGCCTTCCCTATAATCCAGTCATCTTTTAGAGCCACAAAATTAAACATGACCATTTCCTTTTTTTTTTTCCTGTATTAAGTCCTCATTCCAATTTGGCAAGCCTTACAGGTCCCATCAAAAAGCTTTGGCATGAAGGGACCAAAACTCTTAATAATCAAGTTGCTTTTAACTGTCCCAGAAACTATTGTTAACTATTTATTCTTGTGGGAACAAACCACCATCTTAGTGGTCTGTCTGAACTGTAATAATAAACGTTGTGCCTTTGTGTCCATAGCAGCTGTTCAGGATCTAGAAATATATTTACACCTATAGCATCTACTGAGTGGAAGCCTCGATCTACCTCAAATCTAACAGTAAACTAGCAACACAGTGATGCTTAGTGCCAAATTTATTTTAAAGCCTACATTTTATTGTCATTGGTACCATCCCAGGTGTTTGTCAATGCTGACTGTGTTTCTGTGGTGGGTTGACCCTG